GGTGTTGGTAGAGCTAGGACAAAGGTTGGACACAATCTTGAAGGTCTCTTCCAACTGAATCTGTTCTATGATTCTATTTGGCATGAAAAAGAGTTGAAATACATACTTGTTTAAGGAACATTTTCCCAAAGCTAAACAAAAGGACATAGACGAGGAAAACAGTACTCACCAGAACGTCCCTTTGTCCCTGCTTTCTATATCTATGAACCCAGATTCCAAAAACATGTCCTTGTAAATTCGACCAACCAGGCAGTACATATCTGAAGCTACTTGGTCTTCCTGTTCTACTAAGGGAATCATAATTTCCAGAGCTTTCTGTCTGTCTCCAGGCAGATTTCGCCTATTAAAAAAAAAAAATTATTAAAAACCCCAATAAAGTTAACAAGAAATACTTTTTTCATGGCCATGTTTGAATATATATATATGTATGATATCATCCACGTAAAATGTGCTTCTAGACACAATGTACTATATAGACACTTCCCCCCACTTCTTCCTTTTTTTTTTTTCTTAATATCACAGGACACCTTTATAAAAGTCCCCAAACATGTTTCCTCTCTCTCGTCAGCTACAGCAAAGAGCTGATAACAGCAACAACAGCCTCAAGAGCAATTCTTCGAAAGATCACGTGTTACTTTCTTACAAAATAGAAAGATATGAACTTTGGTTTCATACCTAATACTTCTTTCATAGTAATTAAGGTTTCAAAGGGAAAAAAGATTCCATCTTGTGTTTCTGGTTTGGTTATTTTTGGGCGGTTTTGGTTTTGGTTTTTTAGTTGTTTTTTGGTGGTTTTTTTTTTTTTTTTTGCGGGGGGGGTGTGTTTGTTCTCGGGGGCTTTTTGTTGGTTTGTTTGTTTTGGGGGTTTTGTTTGTTAGTTTTGATTTGGGGTTTTTTTAAATATATACATTTTGAATGTGAAGCAAAAAAAATCAAAAAGCACAAACCAGACTGAATTCCCATGATAGGGAAAGGTTAGAAAGTGAAGCAAGTAAGATAATATTACAGAAGTACTTCAGACAAATAAACCACATAATTGCAAGTATTACACACTTCCTGGTGACTCAGTTTGGATACCTACATCATCAAAAATTTAGACATTTTTACGTATTTGTGTACTCAACGAGCAAACTATTCCTTTCTCAGCAAAAACTATTCTTGAGTGGTTTGTGGAGACTATTATATTCTTCTGGAGAAACTGCTTGTAATGTTTGAGTGGCTACTATTTGAATTGGGGGAATATATAGAAGTGCGTTTGTATCTGTCTTGCAAGCTTTAAGCTTGCAAGAGAAGGCTACCTCAGGAAAAAAAAAAACAACTTATCAAAAGCCACAGCCATCTTGAAGCAGATGCTACTTGAACAGAGGCTCAGTAATGGATTTTTTTTTTCTCTCTGTACAAGAACATATCAAAGTTTTGATGCATCTGCACAGGCAGTGTCAATATCAGACCTGAGAGATCAGAGCTCATGAGCTCTGAGCTCAGGCATGCAGCTCCAGAAGGGAATGATGTGGAAGAAAAGGTTTAAATCAAGCAGAATGAGTAACAGAGGACAAATGAGTACTTACATCATAGCAAAAAATAATTAAGAAAACAGAGTAAAAGCACTTCTTTGAGCAGACAGTATAAACTGCTTGCCCGAGTCAAAAAAACCAAAGCAAACCAAAAAGAGCGTGCAGGTCTACATGCTGGGCCAACCTCTACTGATGTCTCAGCCTGACGAGAAAGACAAATGAAACCCAGTGCCATCTCTTCCCAACCTTCAAACCAGTCAAATTCTAACAAATTAAGAACAGTCCCCTCAGACTACAGAGCTGCAGTAGAATCCCCAAGTACTTCTAGAGTGGCACAGCGAGGCTGCTGCACTCATTTGAGACTGACAAGTGCTTCCAATCCCAGGCCCCAGGGAGAGAAAATAAGTGCTCCTGGCTGAGCAAATAAGTCTCCTTCAGGCCCGTGTTATTTTAGCTCTCCTGCCAACCGATCACTTGCCCAGTTGTTAAAGTCTGCAGCTTCTTTGTTTTTCAGCTGACTTTCATTACAGAAGGACCATTTTCAGAATAGAGCTTCAGGTGCGTAACTCTTCCATATCTTTTATCAACTATCACTAATCCAGACTAAACCAATAGCTAGCTGAACTTAACGAGAACAAAACCAGTAAGGCACAACAATGTTTCGTAATGTGAGCTATTTACACTTTGCTCCTCTCCAGAGACAGAGGTCCCTACTTTTCTTTCTGCTTACTCTCCAGTCATCAATGCCCTCACACACTTTCTTGATTTAGGTCAGACTAATCCTGACTAATTGAGCTGCCCCATCCTTCTGTACTAGTGACCTGGATCAGAAGCAAGAGGGACAGCTTCTCCCACATTCAGATGCACAGAATATTCCAGACCTGCCTTATCCTCCCTATTTCCAATAAGGTGAAAGCTACAACTAGCCCAAGTAATTCCTGCTTTACATGCATGAAAGCATGAACATTTTCATGGCTGTCTTGAATGTAGTATCTGGAGGAGGGATGGAAAGAAAAATCTGAACTCCTTTGGAGGTACTGCATAGACCTTTTGTGTGACAGATATGCTCAAAGGCTACATCTTACAATCATATCTACAAAATCAGACCCTTCAGTCTGCAAGAAGTCCCAACGGAACCAACAAAGTTATAACCAATAAAGTATAAGCCTGAGAAGACCATGCTGCAGTTTTGTAGGTTTTTTAAAGTGCCACGGTGAACTACTCGAGTGCTGTTTTCAAAGTTGACTTTGTTTTAGAAAATGGTGACCTTGAGGCCTAAGTAACTTGTTAAAACTCCAAGGTACACCTTGTGACCTTTGTGAAGGCTATGTAGAAGTGGCAGCAGATACCTGCTGGATTATTTAATCCACAAAGCTCCACATTTATGGCAAAGTAGGAACAAAAAGGGCACAATACGTATACTTTCATATACCTGCTATAAAGGAATGAGAAAGGATCTGGACATTTTATTCAGCCAAAACAATGCCAAATAGCTGGTTTTAATTTTGTTTTATTTTTTTGTTTCAAAAGCAGGTTTATTTTTTACAATTAATTACTTTTGACATATTTTGACATCAATTTGATGTGACATGCAGTTTTGAGGCCTTTCAGTGAACCTGAATTGCAATATTAAAACCTGTATGAAGCAGAAAAATCTGTAGAAATTTTCTATATTTGAGAATGTCAATGCCTGCTGACACCTGGACTACTCCTCTAAATGTCATTACCAAAATGTTCATTGTGATAACAGCAAAGGAGAAGAAAACGTCTGTAATTTCCTCTGAAAAAACTCTCCTTTTAGTGCCTTGCCTAATTGCCAGTATCTTAGAAAAAGCTTTAGGCTTGGCTTTCATTTAACCCATGAAAGAAGTGCATGCTGCTCCATGTGCCACATTTTGTGCCTATTACTGGAGAACATAAAAATTACTTTATTATTGTAAGATAAATCTTCCAATGGACATTTGATGAAATTTTTCCTCCGGTCTCCAGAATTCAGACTTGAATGAGATGATGTCTAAGTTAGCACAAATGCTGCGGCACTGCCACTCATACAGCAATGTTGAAACAATATTTTACAGAGGTAAAATACCGCTATGCATTTATTTGCTCCAGTTGAGGTACTGAAATAAAAAAATTATGCAAGCCTATGAAAAGAGATATCAAACACTCACACTAAGGGAAAAGGAATGGAATTTGACAGCACGAGAGAAAAAAAAAAAAAAAAAGCTTAGATAGATTGCAAAGCTCAGAGTCCCCAAAGTTGCTTCAGTGAAAAACTTAGACCTGTGTATGAAGATTCCAGCAGGGAACTTCACCTGGGATTACCAACCCTGGGTGAAGTTTGCAGTTCTGACTTACTGTTCAGCAGCAGAAGCAAGGGTGGATTCTTACCTGTTCAGCGCAAATGCATAATGAAACCTCACATGGTGGTGGGAAGCCAAGTCAAAAGTAGGCAGTTTTTCTAAAGTTTTCACCAGTTTCACAATGGAATCGTAATCCTTCCAAAAGAAGGGAATAATGAAGTTTTAGGTAACTGTACTGAGGTATGCCTATATAAACTCCTCTTTGAACTAAGCACCTCTTATTTCATACTAAGAAGTATTTTCAGTTCGTTGTAGGTTTTATGGATTTGAGTTTCTTAGGTCTCAAACTGTAAACAGCCTGGCACTCATCAGAAATGTGAATATGCACAGTGTTTAGCAGGTGAACACAATGTGGTCTCCACTACTGCTTCAATGTGGACCTGTGGAAATTTTAGTACATGTGTTTCATGATTAAAGTTGGCTTCAGGGGCTGAACACATATGAGAATTTATATTGTACAGACATTACAACACTAACTGCATTTGAATTAAGGCATCCCAAAACTCTGAAGTGGGCATAAGCCACAAAAACAAAATAAAAGAATCTTTCAATACCCCAGTTTTTAAAGTAGCTTACTCACTGCCATATTTTAAAAAGAAACAAACACAAACAAAACCAAACCCAAACCACTTCAAAATGTTTAAGGAGCAACAGCTGAAATTATGTACAAAAAAGTAAGCAACTACTAGCACCATTCTGGAAGCTGAAATGCATATGAACATGTCACGTTGCCACAAGGAATGTCACAAGCATGGTGACAAAGAATACACATACACATCAATAGCAGAACGCTACCATAGCCTTTACACAGGATGCACTATAGGCTGTTCATCACATAGTAATGCTGAGATGGAGAGAAGTATTATATATTGTATACTTTTTAGGTGCTATTATAAAACAGTAACACTTTTCTGCTGTGTAAAGGCACACTATAAACAATGTAACCACAAAACAGAGTAAAAAGCATCAGCAAAGATACTGTAAAAGATTTTTACTAGTGTGCATTATTCATATAGTTTGTTGGCAAATCTGCAAAAGGCAGGCAAAATTTCACTGAGAATGTAGTTTAATTTACTACGTTTTAGATAATCTTAAAACACAGGATTCATACCTGGATGTCTCTGTAGGACAGCAGCAAGTTTATTACAATGTCAGCAGACAAGACTTCAACATTATCCACTCGCTGGCGAATCCTTGCCAGCTCTGCTGCAAGCTCTTTGCCTGTGTATAGGGTACGGGCCTTCCTGATGTCATTCAGAATGGATTCCCGGAAATACTGGCTGGAGATGAACAACATGTCAGCAATTTGGGACGGGTCCCTTCCATTTTTCTGGCCCTGCAGCTCTCCCACAACGTATATGTGGAACATTTATTGATAGAGCAGTGTCGATGGAGAGATTTGGTCAAACTAAATTATTCATTATCAATTTCTCTCAGCAGAAGACAAAACTTCGCACTACTCTGAAGCAAGAGCCTTACTTTTATATTTAATATACGAATTTTACACAGGGATACAAAAAGACAACTCACCTCGAGCTGGCCTGTGCCACCTTCAAGAGCTGAATAAATCGATCCACCAGAGGTAAGCATATAGGCCCAAGCAGCGACTCAAAACTGGGCTGCATCAGTTCTGTTAGTCCCTTCATAAAACTGCTGTCACAGCAGTATACCTTGTTATGTGGAGTTATCATATAAGGAAC